CGTGATCTTCATGAATGTAAGCATCTGTGAAGCCAGTTCAGCGTGATCTTCATGAATGTAAGCATCTGTGAAGCCAGTGCAGCGTGATCTGCATGAATGTAAGCACTTAAAAAAGTTTTCTACATGTAGATCGTACATACATCCTCCCAAACAAATCTTGACTTCTAGTTTCTTGAAATAAATCCTCTCAGTAATGGAATATTATTAATCATTCAAACTGTTTTTCTTCTTTAAATGAAAGATAATTTTCCCCTTTTCCAAAATGATGTCTAAGTATACATCTGAAGAAAAGCAGATCCACGATTTGAACAATGATTGTATTGTTCAAGCTGTTAAATATTTGTGTGGATATTTCATGGCGTCGTTTGTACTTTACATATTGGGGGTCGAGTGAATTGTTAGAATATCTAAATGCCCATTGACATAAATATATCTTAAATGAATACGTTCTGTGGACCGTGGTGAAATGTTTTGATAATTTCAACAACTTATCATGGCAGCAGAATAATGAACGTTCCATGTCACAAAACACGCACAAAAAATAAAATATCCAAAATCTTGGAATGACCCAGTTATTAACTTTAAAACATATATTTAATACTATCTTTAGGGGGGGGGGGCTTTAAAAGGCCACTGAAAACCTGCTTTTATCCATTGCAGAAACGGTAAAAAGACAAACAACATGTTCTTCACATAAACAAAAGCACCCCTTGCAAGTCAGAAGCAGTTACTCAAGCTAAAACTGACCCATAATTTTTCATGTCCAGGACCTTCGATAGCACTATTTACATTCCTCTTCCGTGAGGCTGCCTTCCATATACATTGTTCATAGATTATACCTGCCCACTTTACACGTTTCAACAATACAGCTCAACTTGACTTTCATTGTTTTGGAACGAAAAGGAACAAAAAGAACGTTTAGCCAACTACCAGTATTTTATGCGCACCTCTTTATAGCTATAATGGCGATATTCATTCCAGAACTGAATATCAACTGTTTCATTTAAAATTTTGCCACAAACATTTATATGGGTCACAAAATTTTAGTGAACTACACTGTAACAAGAATAGCATAATTATTTTAAAATATGCAAATGAGGAGAATAAAACAGATTTAACCATTATGAAGATCAATTGTGATAGGTCTATATATATTTTCTTTGCATCTCTTCTTTTCAACTTGCAAACTTTTTTAAATTTAGCAGTTTTGATAATATTAATGTTTTGGTCATAATGGCAATATGGTATTCAAAGGTTTCTCGAAGAAAGTTTCACATTAAGGGAATGAAAGAACAAGCTTTCACCTGAGCAGGATCAGCCTTAAAACAAGACAAGCAATTAAACTGTCTAAAACCCTTCGATATGGAAAATCTGCATATACATTTTTTATCAGCGTTTCTTTAAAGATGAAGCTTCAATAAACCCAAATATCAAACGGCTGACCCATCAACCAACGTTTCACATAATTCTGGTGTACGGTTTCCGACACTGAAGGCGATTTCATGCACCAATAAGCTCGTTTTAAAACGTAATGAGTACAGATGTTTTGAATTTGCTATAAATTAGTCGTTGTCTATATAAATAAAATAATAATATTTATATGCCTTTGTTTGTCTTTTCTTAAAATTCGGGAAAAAATTAGACAATAAATTTCTGGTTTTCAACAAATTAAAGCGTTTGTATACTCAATTAAAGTACAGTCTTTGGTTTTTCTTAACCTGCTATCTAAAATACATTATTAAAAGGGTAGGTTTGCTAGTACAAAACAGTTTTAATATCATTATTTATTTTACTTTTTTTTTATTGTCGAGCGCCACGAGAGGTCTCTGACTTCCTATCTTGGCCACGCTTCACAGTAGCTACGACTTACACTGCTAATGCGTTATTTTATACTACTAGTGCCTTGCGTTAATGTTTAATGGAAATAGACAAAATAAGTCATTCAACAGTACGTTTTACAATATTAACAGAAAAGGCATGTTGATATGTAAAATCCAAAACAATAAGAAAGGAAACTGACACGCAAAACAAAATAATCTGAAAATGAGTGAAACTCAAGAATCTGTGGCAATAACGCGTAAACATTAAGTCTGAGAAAGAGCGTAATAGAAACATTTACTGTGTTTGCATACCAGGAAAGTACAATTTTGTTATTTTATTTATTCAATATCCCAGTTTGCTTTTTAAAAAAAGGTTTTATAGTTCCACAAGCAATGTTCAGAAACCAGGCAACATTTAATCACTAAGAATAACGAGACAATTATGTGTCTTGAACGTCATTATGGACAATATTTTATAACACTAATATTCAGTCAACTGTTTACTGCTACACAAACATTTTCTACGTTGGTTTGTTAACTGTAAGTTTTTGGTTTTGTTTTTACTGTTTGGAGCTATTAGCTAAGTAAAAAAAAACAGATCGCATTTATATATTCAAAAATAACTTAGCTATATTTTTATCAAATGATTTCTTATCTTATAAATTTCTACAAATAAATTATTCTTAACTTCATTTTGTATTTTCCACCTTAATGTTACACATTATGTAGTTTTTGAGTCATTGTACCAAAAAGCCTTTTTTTTTATAGCGACCAACTCTCTGAAAAATAAAGGAAGTTTATTATTAATACCAAAACACAAGGAAAAATAGAAGTTTTCAGTTAACGTTTAATGTGCTCCACTTCAAAGGATTCCCTTCACAACAACAATTCAATTGGCATTTAATTTGTTTGTTTGTTTTTAAATTTCGCGCAAAGCTACACGAGGGCTATCTGCGCTAGCCGTCCCTAATTTAGCAGTGTAAGACTAGAGGGGAAGCAGCTAGTCATCACCATCTTGGGCTACTCTTTTACCAACGAATAGTGGGATTGACCCTCACATTACAACGCCCCACGACTGAAAGGGCGAGCATGTTTGGTGGGACGGGGATTCCAACCCGCAACCCTCAGATTGCCTGGCATTTAATGATAACTCAGTAAAAATAAAATCAAAACCATATAAATATCAAGTGAACAGTGTTTGGTGTTATTCTGCAGCTTATTAAAATAGGGTTAATTTCGAAAATACATCGTGAGGATTTGAACAAATTGATCTACAAACGTTTTGAAATGTTACGTGTTTGCAATATGACTTAACATCAACTCTTTTAATCTTACGGTCACACAGAATAATTTATTAATTTCTAAAACCAAAGTTTATCTTAAATGTAGAGAAAACAAGAATCGGTAAAGTTCGCCTTACTAATTAACTCATTGACATTTGTTGTATAAATGCTCGTATTAATCAACTTATATGTTAAACGTTCGTATACGTGATAAATAAATTAAGGATTAACATACCTAACGTAGGTTTTCTCCTGTTTTATTAATTTCGTCGGTGGCTATTGATCTACGTATAGAAAACGATCAGCCTAACTCAGCAGGCTTTCATCGTTACTCGGACTTTTCGGAATATATAAGTCTTCCTGGTTCTGTAAGTGATTTTTGTTAGAGAGTAGAAAATGAGTCTCTCTGTAGTACTATTAACTTATATTGTCACGATCTCTGTAACTGTTATGTGAAAGTGCCTTTGTTGGGAACTAATAGCAACAGATTACTTACGATAACAATGATAACGTATTGTAACAGATGACCTACAATAATAACGGTAACTAATAACAACAGACACGTCTCTAATTGAACAATAACTATCTTGAAGTTAGCGTGCATTAGATAGTAATGGATAGTACGTGTGTTTCTTTAGTAATATAATAGACACTGTATCTTACCGGTAATTTTATCTATCGTACATGTTGCTACTTACGGTTGTGTGTCACTAATGATTAAAATTTTGATTTCCAAAAATTTCAAGAACTAAAAACAGTTAAAGACTCTTGTCACGCCATTTCTATTCCTAATTATACTTTAGGTAGCAGATTCGAAAAAAAAAAAAGACTTCCTGCCACAATGAAACAAAGTTTTAATATGTTAACAAATATATATAAAGGAATGTACTTTTCCAGTGACGTTACCCTAAACTTGAAATACGTTAAACAGGAAACCCTCAACTGATTATGACGTAAAAGAAATCAAAACTTTAACCGTGAATATAACGTTGCTCCCCTCCTCCTCCTCCCTTAAAGCCCGTCAACAACAACAGCGTTTCAGAACCTTGGTAGTACTTACTTACGCTATTAGCCCATTTGTATAGCCCACCAAGGGCACAGTGATAAATCTGCAGACTTATAACGCTAGAAACAAGGCTTCGATACCTGTGGTGGGCACATCACAGATAGCCCAGTCTGCAGCTTTGTGCTTAACTACAAACAAACAAACACATTTGTATAACACCAAAAAAACAAGAAAAACAATAGTTGATAACGGATAGCTTTACATAATCTCTCTTACCCTATTATACTATCCTATGTTTATCTTTTGGATATTTCAATGTGATAACAATGCTTTGAAACTAACACTTGATATTTCAATGTGATAACAATGCTTTGAAACTAACACTTGATATTTCAATGTGATAACAATGCTTTGAAACTAACACTTGATATTTCAATGTGATAACAATGCTTTGAAACCGACACAGTTTAGAAACTACCGTCTTGTTCTTCATTTTTGTTACATTAACAGTATGTTTTAATAAAATCTTGAATAATTCACGCGTGTGATATATAAATTAGAGACACGAGCACATAAAACTACTTTAATTTTTCTTAACCTTTTAGAATAAAAATGCTATTCTCAGTTATCGGGAACATGCAGTGATCTTTGAGTCGAAGCTAATTTAAAATGAACATATTTATGTGATCTGACGTAAGAGCTTTAATACAACATTAATTTTTAAAAACATATATTTATGAAACTAAAAGTAAAAATACTCATAATTATTTCAAACATTCCAACACGAGCGTGTTTTTGATACATTGTAAACTTTATACCATAATAAACGTATATATATATATGTATTTAGCTTGTGTGAAAGACTGACAACATTATATTACAGTAACTTACCTCCTTCTACGTATTTGTTAAGTGCGAACAAACAGAGAAAAACTCCAGCGATTTTACCGACATTTGTGACACACAAAGCCCACGGTCTTCCCTTTCCATTGGCCACGACCGTGGGTCGACTTTCTCTGTAGGACATAGCGGTATATTTAGGCCTGACAAATAATACTCACTGACAGAACCGAACAACAGATATCACGAAGAAATCCCGAAGAAAATCTTAAGGTTAATCTTAGCGTCCAACTCTGATCTGAAAGCTCTACTCAATGCTGCGTTGTCAGTCACTATCAGAGGCTGGAGCACGGACTACCAGAGAAGTAAGCAGATTTCTCCTAGATGTTCTATTTTGCTGACGGCAGGATTCTATGTTCATTCTTCAGTGGTGTCTCTTAACTCTATCAAGCTTTGGTGAGTGTCAAGTCTCTTCTGATTGCAGTAGAAGCATTTTCATCGTGCGGCAGCAGCACGGAAATTGTCACGTGATACAGGCTACCCAGTTAGCAAAGCCGGCGCTTGATAAGTCACTGGAGTAGGCAACGCGAATGAGATCCGCCTGAAGAGAGAAACTGAAGTCCCTCATAGGACCAGTTCGTGGTAAAATGAACAAATTTCGGAAGAGTTACAAAAAATATATATCTATTTTATTTTCGAATAAAACTACGAAAAATTCAGCAGAAATTAATACCAATAAATGTAAACAATAAAGATAATTAATTAAATTTCCAGTTTGATAAAACAACTAAATTTCAACGTTGAGTAACTCGTTACAGCTTGTCATTGACTTCATAGTAAACGTTGATAATAATGTAAGTTATATAGAAACGCTTATATAAAGAGTACGTGACTGCTTACTGTTGATTTAGTAGATAAAAAGCTGGCTATATAGCAAAGCATATAAAATGAAGACTGAAGAAATAATTGCGTTTAGAAACCAAAGACCGAAGAAATAATTGCGTTTAGAAACCAAAGACCGAAGAAATAATTGCGTTTAGAAACCAAAGACCGAAGAAATAATTGCGTTTAGAAACCAAAGACCGAAGAAATAATTGCGTTTAGAAACCAAAGACGGAAGAAATAATTGCGTTTACAAACCAAAGACGGAAGAAATAATTGCGTTTACAAACCAAAGATTGAGAAATAATTGCGTTTACAAACCAAAAATTGAGAAATAATTGCGTTTAGAAACCAAAGACCGAAGAAATAATTGCGTTTAGAAACCAAAGACCGAAGAAATAATTGCGTTTAGAAACCAAAAACCGAAGAAATAATTGCATTTAGAAACCAAAAACCGAAGAAATAATTGCGTTTAGAAACCAAAGACCGAAGAAATAATTGCGTTTAGAAACCAAAGATTGAATATCAAGTTACGTTTGAAAACACAAACTGCCGATATTAGTAGGCATGGAAAATGAAATACTTTTGTAAGGTCAAGACTGACGATATAATCACGTTTATAACGAAACGATTTTCAAAAGTTTATATATATATTTATATTTAATCTCTGCGTCAGTGTACAGAAACTTTGATTTTGTCCTTCATTTAATCATACCTCTTCATCAACAGTGCTTTACATGAATAGGGTTATTGAAGATTTAGTTTTAATGCTTACGTAGAACAAACTAATCAATGGTAAGAAACCCGAGGAAGACCTGATAACTATTCTTGGATTTGTTTAAAGAGTTTCACATATCCTCCTATAGCTTCATAATAGGCCTTTGCTTGATCTTTACTTGATCACAACCGCAACGCTGCTTTGTACATTTCCTTTTTTTACGATTAATAATATTGAAATAGTAAAGATAAAGCCTTAGAAAACAATATACTAATATAAACATTTAGATAATTTTATAATGACCATGTAAGACTTCAATATTAGTTACCTCATAAGAAAACCAACATTTTCAATATCTAAGTTATAGAATAATATCTATCTATATATATAAAGCGAAGTTTTCAGCCTTTCTGTCTAGTGTCACGTATTGTTGTCAAGGGCTGGCTTCAATACTTTCGTTGAAATGTACTAGAGAAAGCCAAGGGGCCTGCTTAAACATCGAATTTCAAGGGACAACCGATAGGATCAAAGTTCGAATTTGGTAACCATTTTAAATCTACCGCCTTAATTCCTCGAATGAGGGCTCAAATGAGCTAAGACGTCAGTAGCAAAATATATGCAGCCGGTGCCAAAATGAAAGTGACATTTAAAGCCGCGCATAGCACGGGTACCTTCTTCAGACAAAAGGTTCCTGTGCTATGGCTCAAAATAGTAAAAGGGGCGGCCCTCGTCCCCATTTATAGTATTAGTTTTTAAGCTAGTATAAATGATGAATAACATTAAATACAATTCAGTTCATAATCGTCACATGTTGGGTCAAAGGTTAGTTCAAATCTGGGGATCGTTTCTCCGTTGTGGACCAGATAGCCATTGCGTAGCTTTGCGCTACAAAATTAACAACTAAATCTACTTAATAGTATAAAAAACATTTTAAATACTTAGATAAAGTACAAATATAACTATAAAGAACAAATATGAAATACAGCTAATTATTAGTAAATGTTTTACTGCTAATACTGAATAATATATATTTTTTCTTCATGTTAGTCTTAGAAAATATGAGCATTATATTATATAGGATTTATGCAATAAAACGTTATTAAACGTTAACAACTGATACTGGAAATTAATATACTGTGAAGCTAGTATTTCACATATCTGAATTTGTAAATAAAAGTTTCGCAGTAAAATACTGGTCTTGAATCTCAAATAAAGTTTGCGTATTAAGCTAGATATATCTGTTACTGACAAGTAGTGGTGGTGATTTTTAAACATTAAGCTAATACTAGATATATCTGTTACTGACAAGTAGTGGTGGTGATTGTTAAACATTAAGCTAATGCTAGATATATATCCGTTACTGACAAGTAGTGGTGGTGATTTTTAAACATTAAGCTAATACTAGATATATCTGTTACTGACAAGTAGTGGTGGTGATTTGTAAACATTAAGCTAATGCTAGATATATATCCGTTACTGACAAATGGTGGTGGTGATTTTTAAACATTAAGCTAATGCTAAATATATGCGTTACTGACAAGTAGTGGTGGTGATTTTTAAACATTAAGCTAATACTAGATATATCTGTTACTGACAAGTAGTGGTGGTGATTTG